ATGGACGGAAGGAAAAAGAAACGAGTCAACCCCAAAAACTGCACTGCGTTGGTATGCTTTGTGACCGCGCCAATCGCCTTGCAAATGCAAGCTTCTTTTTTGCATCTCGTTCTTGCAGATTGCTGACTTCAGGGTTTAAACACCTCCGCATCTTTTGCAACGAGGCAAAAAGTGGAACCATGCCAGTCTCAACTCGCAGCTAGCAACATAAAGCTGCTTGATGCTGAGACTTTACAAACACAACTTAAAGGAGCTGCTTAATGCTGAGACTTTAAACACCTCCGCTGGTTTTGCGACGAGGCAAGACAACTGAAACACAAACTCTACACGCCATACACACCACGGTGGTTAGCACGTGCGCATGTGTCACAAATGTCCCAGTCACAGGCTTGGCATCTGTACGTTCCATCTCTGACTGTGGCTTGACAAACATCACACGTGGTCTGAAAATATGCGAACTGTTGCTATCTGTTGCTCATTCAACACCACTTCTGGTGGGGGAGTCTCAAACACAAGCGCATGGCCCTGTCGACAATACAACGCTTCAAGTTTCACACGGGGTGGCGCTTGCAAAGGCAAGTGCAAATGCTCTGGCCTCTCTTGCTTGACACCTCGAGCCCTGGCCCTTTTGGGTGCAGGAATGAAACAAAGCATCTCAACGTCACTGTCGCTGCTGTCACCAAGATCGGGACGTGGCCTAGCTTGATCATTGCCAGGCGGGGGCAATTCGTCATGGCTTGCGGCAGGAGCCGGGGCGACAGGCGCTTCCACTGCCAGGGGTGCTGCGGGATGTGCAGCAGGTGCTGGTGGCGGCACGTGCGCTTTGTGCAGGTTGCGGAAGCTGCGGCACTTGCGGAGGTTGCGGCACTTGCGGCGCTTGTGGAGGTTGCAGAGCTTGCGGTGCTTGCGGGGGTTGCGGGGGTTGCGGCGCTTGCGGTCCTTGCGGCACCTCATCCTCGAAAATGCTGGCGAAATCCGCACGGAATTCCTCAGGGAGGGACATCACCAAACTGGGGTTGTGCTGCGCAGCGTTAGGGTGTCGTTGCTGCCAAGTCAAAATTTCGTTCAGCAGCTCGGAATATGGCTCTTCGTCTCTTGCAGAACACGTTTGCCTTCAGAGAAACTCAGCCAGAACGTCCATAACACTGCTTGGAGACCCTTTTGATGCCACGCTGCCGGATATAGGACTTCAACCTTCCGAAAAGGCCTTCGGCTGCATTGGAAAAAATGATAATCTCCTGTCCGAAGATCCTCTCCACTCGACTGAACTCGCGCTTCTTGTGGTTCACGTACCGGTGGACAAATGGACTACCCCGAGCAGACATCCAGCGATATGACTTCAACGCGTCCGTAAAAACGAGGCTTCCAGGCACGATGTGCTGTGTCAGAAGTCGCTTCAGCGTCCTCAGAGGCAACGACCAGTTGCCCTTCGCGTGTGCAGATCTAGCTCGATCATGCCCAAAACAAGCGTTGCATGTCCAGCAGTCTCTCTTCCCCGGAATCCCCCTCTCGAGCGCTTCTTGGTAGTGAAAAAGGTCTCGTCCACAGCAACGATACGATCTCTGCCACCAAGTTGTTGCTGCTGTTGTTGGCCAACGACAAGCCGCAAGATGGCTCGACTTTTCTGCACAAAGAGCCGCCAAACTTTGGACTTGACACCACACTCGCGTTTGCATGTCTGATAGTCTGCGTCTGAAGCGTAGTAGTAAAGCATCTTCAGGTACAAGCGCGGAGTCAAGTTGTTCGAAAGGTAGTATGGAAAGGTTCCTGCCTGGCGCCATGTCATTTTGCGGTTGCACAGTTTGTAGGAACGTCTCCCCTCATCGTTCTCATCGTCCTCATCTTCGTCATCACGACGGGGAGCACATGGGACCTTCGCTGTGCAGTGACACTCCACCCTTGCCATCAGCACCGTTTGTCGAGAAACGTGTCCATTCGTGCCTTCGGCCGCAAAGGTGAGGCAACGGCAGAAGGCCGAACCAAACCGAAAACCAAGCCGCGCGGGGAGGGGGAATAAAGCAATATCTTCTCCAGGCAATCGAAGAACGTAACTGCTTGGGTAGGGTTCCCAGGTAGTATAAAGTGTTTCCACCCCGCCTTGATTTTGCGCGAACTGTAAGCTCAACATCACCTGTACACTAGCGGTTTTCTCACTTCTTGTATTGTGTAAACCCTATAAACCTTAAATCCAAAGCCTGAATTGGCCGAAGCCGTTTTAATTCTCAGATTGCAGGACGCGCCTTGCGCCCGGAAGCTTGGGGGACAGACCAGCAACACGTGGGCGATTTGGCGATGAACGGAGCCGGCGTTCGTCAAAAAGAATGCACGCGTGTCACGCGTGGGACCAGTTCGCCCCACACGGCAGGCGCGCAGGGAATGTTCCGATTTTCCTAAATCTCTTTGCAACTTGGTAGTTTGTACAGTTTCGGAACGATTTGGCCGTATCGGGAAGAAGCTCACGCAAGGGTTGGGGTTTTTGTTTCTGCACTTGATCTTCGCTACTCGCCATCTCCTCAAAGCCACAAGCTAAGAGCAAGGGAAAGGGCAAAGGTGGCAGGAAGGACAATGGCATAAAGCAAGGTCCATTGTTGAAGAAATTTGGAGCGTGCCGATTTGGAGACAATTGTTACTTCAAACATGACTCCAATCCGAAGCTTGTTCCGAAACCCAAGGTAGCACCAGTGACATCGTTGCAAGTTGTGCAGGCACCGAGTGCCTATCTTGGAAATTCGGGAAGTGTTGTTGTGGGGAGAAATGGATTGCCCGAGCAGGCCACGGCGTGGGCGCAAAGGTGAAACGCCACATTGGTTACATGTGGCCCAAAGGAAGATCTGCCAGGGCTGCCAGGGCAATGGAAGTCTTGAGTGGATTGGAGGAGAGGAGCCAGGTCTGGAACCCGGCCCCGACGAAGATGAGGAGGAGACATCGGAATCTGGTGCGGATGATGGATCGTCCGTGCTCCGATGATGGTCCACCGACAATCCTTGGTGCGTTTCAGGGATTCAATACATTTCAAGAACCTAGGGGGAATATTGAAAATCAAATCATCCCATTATCACAAAATTTTGGAACCCATATGTCGCCCATCATGCCTTTAACAAATGACGGTGACATTCGGCTTGGAAATGGTTCTCGCCGGTGAAGGAAGTGCAAAGTCATGTTCAAGTTGAAGGCTCATTATATGGAAGGATATAAATGCCTCTCCTGTACTACACAGCTGCTCAGGAGCGGTTGTTTTCTTCAAAAAATATTCATGGAAAATGATGCTGCGTGAAAGATGAAAACAACAACAGCCAATGGCGACTTCAGCGGTTGGGTTTGATTCGGCATCTAGTCTGCCGGACGTACAGAAGTTTGTGGCTGATGGAGGGTTCGTCAGATTTTTCATGAATCCTTGAGTCGACTACCGCCGCCTTGCTCCCCAAGCCGGCCGGTCATGACCACACTGACACCCCCTGCCATTCAACAGGCTCACATCCCCAAAAGTGCAAAGACACCGTTAGCAGGATGTAATGGCAACATGCACTGTTCGCGCTCTTTTGCATTTTTGTTCCTGTCCTGCGGGTCGTGCCATGTCGAAAGCACCTGCCAGAAAGTGGTTCAGCTGCAAAGCTTGTTGCCATGTGCAAGTAAGTTGCAACATTCGGGTGTGGTTTTTGTTACGGAGGAGTGGCTGGTCTTCTTGGGAGCTTGATTCGAGGTCTTGCCGTGGCGACGCCGCATCAGGCCAGAATTGCGTCTTTCCAACATGTGCAAAGCAGATAACGTTCGCGATTCAATGGGTGAAAGCTGTGGAAGAGCAAAGATGATGTTCACAAATAATCTCACAGCCTGCCATTTTTGTTTGTATGCAGTGTCCGGCTGTGAATGCAGTTGCGCACAAGGCTTCAGTCGAAACATCGCTCAGAGATTGCCATGTGAAAGCAAGTAAGGGGTACTTTGCAATGCGACCACAGCTGCCTTGAAAACTTTTGGCTCAGCATCACCTTTCGTTGGAAACCAGCATGCTGTTCTGTCGCCCTAGACAGGTCCACCAGGGTAGAGTTCAAGTGGATACCAGGTGGATGCCAGTGCAAGGAAGCACAGCTACACTTTGATTTCGAGCCGATTGGAGCCCATGCGCTTCAACGCCTTGGTCAACAATGTTGCGGATACCGTTCTGTCTTGGTCGACCTGACGAACCACGCGCTCCTTTCGGAGAGAAGCTACGGTCATGGCTGCGCATTGTAGTGCAGTCTCTCTGGCAGCCGCAGCTGATCTTGGTCACAGTGGCGTGTGCAGGTTGGTGGCTTGCAGACATGTGCTAAGTACCCGACAGATGTAGTCAAATGCAGGTTTGTGTTGGTGCCGATTTCGTAAGCGAGTTGGTCGAGCTCTGGAAGCCCTGTAAAGCTTCATCGAAACACTGGAGACGTCTGACGACCATGACGTGGACAGGTGTAGTTTGCTTCCTCGTCTGCCGGCGACGGCGCCGTCGCTTTAAACCAGCGATTTCGAAGGTGGGGCAGTCTTTTAACAATTTATCTGAACCATGGTCGACATATGGACATGGCATGTGTGATGCAGGAGCGAAGCACCACGATTTGCATCCATCCCGCCGGCGCCTGCTTTCGAGCCGAGGGACAGCCGGCCCGTGATTTGGGTGTCCTCGCAGCAACCTGGCATTGGAGCTCATGTGAGCATGTGATTGTTACTGATAGTTGCCTGATGTTGTAGTGTTCTGTTGATCTCTGTTGCGGTGTCAATATTGGAACATGCTCAACATGTCTCAACACAAGGCAGCCCGCTTGAAGCGAGAGCGCGGACACACCTCCATCCTGGAGCATCCACAGCATGGCGCTTGTCCTTTGCAGAATTTTTCTATCCTCTTGTCAATGTTCCACTATTCCAATGCTTTTTCGTGCATAGAATCCGGGTGTTGCGAGTCTTCGCGCCGGTGGCATCCTGTGCCTTGATGCTGACTGATCTTGTCTGGCGAGGAGCTCTTTGCTGGCTCGGGCATGCGGGCAGCACGTTATCTCTTGGAAGGTGCTCGCTGCAGCCATGACGCTGCAATGAAGCCATGTGAGACTCCTGTGACCACTGCGGGAACATAAGGGAAGCTGGGAAGTGGGAGGCGCAGCAGATTTCGTCTGGGCCAATGAGGCAAATCAGGCGGGACAGCTGTGTGGGATCTTTGGCCAATGCATGCCAGAAAAGGGAAGCCTTTCGTGGTTTTTGTGCCATGTTGGGCCGATGCCATGCCTAGGCATCGCACAAACTAGAACATCCTGTTGGCAGACTCCTCTTGAAGTTTCATGAAGAAGCCTTTGCATGTTTCCAGGAGCTGTTCGAGACCTTGTTGAACAATGTGCAACAGGCAAGCTCCAGTCATGTCTTGTTAAGCAAAGTGTTGCCTTTTTGATCTTCGTGGCTTTATGTGTAGCCCGCCGAAGGCGGCTTCAGCAGCAGGGCAGGCCTTTGAGGACAGACGTTTTCGCAGTGCTCAGTGGATCCCAGCGGGCTGATGCGGGCTGTGTGCATTGTGTGCATTGTATGCAGAGGATCACCGTTGCTCGGACCTGCTACCTGAATGGGCTGCTCCCCACAGCTGGCGCCTCCAGGCCCGAGGCTGACGAAGAGTGCATGTGCAGAGATGCTCAGACATGTGCAGAAATGCAGAAAGATGTACGTAGGCATCAGTGAAGACATGTGAGTTTTGTGACATCTCGTGCAAGTGAGGAGGGCCTTCCTCTCCACGGAAGAGAGGCCGGCCCACATCCGGGATGGCGGCGCTGCCCGTCCCTTGTCCAAGTACAATCGATAGGCAACGTAGGATGTTGGCAGTTCGCCTTGAGACGTCCTGCTGTGTCCTGTCGTGTCCTTCCTAAGGAGATCAGACAAAGACTCTGGTTCTTCAGCGCTTGGCTGGCGGGTGACTCACTGGGAGTCCAAGTCCTTGCTTGGCTTCTTGGTTTTCTTGGCTCACGAAGACTAGCGGCAAAACCAATGAGATGAGCATAACCGAGGATACTGTCAGGCTGTGAACCGACAGTTTGACTTTGTGGATATTGACGCTTCAATCGCCTCCGGCTGTTCCCACATTGGAGCAACTCTCGAGCTGGTACGGCCAGGCGGATGCAGAGACCCATTTGCCAAAGCTCAACTGTATTCGAGCTGCATTTTCATGCAGCAAGATTTCAGCTCTTCACGTTGGAGTCTGACATTTCAGGTGGGCTGCTATATTTGGCTGCGACCGGTTTGACAGCAACGAAGCCTTCACTGGCTTTCCAGAGCTTGGGCGTGCGGCTGGCTCGATGCCCGTGTTGTGCTCAGCCCGACCTTGTTGCCTCGGAATTGTTGTTCTCTAAGTCGCTCTTGCAGTCCGGTTCCGGTGCCCTGGAGATCTGGAGATGCGTCATCTAGAAACATATAGAAGAGGCGAGGAGAGCAGCACACAAAGGCAGAGGCTTTGCAGGGCGCAGCTCTGAGATGGAAACTTGCATCTCCCCCGAAACCATGTCTTGACGTGCCATCATCGGACGCGTGTTGCCAATCTCGCACGTACAAGTTTCCGAGCTCCTTGAGGGGGGCGACCTCAGGGGCTTCGGTGCAATATGGTGAGACCCATGTTACGACATGTTGCGACGCGTACGCGAAATCTTGTGAATCTGGTCACAAGTTGTGCATGTCCTGGCATGTCGAGACAAATCGTCGGTGAGCAAGTATTGAAATTCAGGCTGTGCTGCGCTGCTGTACGGTGATGACAGAACAGACTTAGGGGTTGGTTGATGTGGCCACAGAGGTGTAGCACGTACAGGCAGAAAGTTATCCAATGGTTCGCAGATGCTTGCAGTTATGCCGAGTGCATTCAATGCTGTACCGCTCATTTTAGGCCCACAGAAACTTTGCACGACCACATGGCACGAGCGCTTATTTGGCGAGCTTTGGATTGCATGGCTTAAGAAGAGGCCTTTACACGGTGTTTTGGCGGTGCTGCTGAACACGTCCAGGAATGGTGTCTGCTGCAGACAGTTTGGGACTCATCGCGCAGCCACTCTTCAGTCTCTACCGTGGAACCGGTTTCTTGGCTTACTGATGTCGCAGTGGCAGCTTCCCCAGTTTAACAGCTTTGCGCTAGCTTGGGTTCTGTTGTCGGTGAGAAGTCAGAGAACAACAGGAGATGTCTTCCGAATCCTGTTCCGTGTGGTGCGCAGATCTGGTGAGAGCATCTTGGGCTTTTGATGCCAAATTGAAGCCACTGTTCCTCCCTGTCGGTATGAGTCGTCCTTGATGGGTCGGGGGTGCCTTTAGATTCAACTTTGAGGTGCTCCGTGCGCGGGTTTTGGAATTTGATCAGGGTTCACTTGTGACGGCCAGTTGACTTATAAGCATCTCGAATTGGCAAAGACCGTTTGAGCCGAGATCTGCGCAAGCCTCAAGGTACCTTGAGGGCGTTCTGCTGTGGAATCTGCTGCGACTGCAATGTTTATGTGGGCCCATTGGAAGAGGAAGGCCTGCTGGGCAGCTTGGCTTACACAGGCTAGAGTGGCTAGAGTCGTTTTTGCTAGTTCAAACACCGTCTTGCTTTGCTGCTGAGCTTGCTGCTGTAGCAAGTTGTTGCTGCCGTATCAGCAGGTTACAGCAGGTCGGCCTCAACCACCAGAAATGCATGCTACTTCCATCTCCAAACTCACAATGGCATTGCCACCTTCTCTGATGGCTCAGGTGGCCATAGAACAGTCACAGATTGCCACTTTTCAACCTGCTAAAAGCACTGAAACGCCAAGCCTACTTCACCTCAAATCTGAGGGCGGTGCGGAACAAATTAACTGCCGAAAAGAGATAGTATATTTGGGATACATATTGTATATTCACTAGTGTGCTAACCGTATAGGAAATTAGTTAAACAAAGTAGCCTCCTCAGACATAGGGGATAGTTTGTGTAAATTTGTCAATCAAGTTACAAAAATATAACTACGATATATTGAATATGTTGCATGTCTCTAACAGTTGAAGTGACATATGCCTTTTACCTTGGAATTAAGCCCTTAAACGTACTAGAATAAGCTTTCCGAGCATTGGAATTCAACCCCAGCTCGTTTTCCCAAATTCCCAGATTCCTAGATTTGCCGGCCTTATGTTCTCAGAGACCCAGATTCTCAGACTTGCCGGCCCGATGTTCTCAGATTCCCAGCTTGCCAGATTTGCCGGCGCTTGTTCCCAGATTCCCAGGTTTGCTTGCCTTGTATTCCCAGATTCCCAAATTCCCAGATTTGCTCGCCCCGTGTTCCCAGATTCCCAGATTTGCCGGCCCTGTAACGAGTTAGGGTGAGAAGATCTCGGAATTTTGGAACTTGGAGTGAGAAAATCTGACAACTTGGGAATTTAGGAATCTGTGAATCTGGGAAGCTGGGGTGAATTTTCTGGGAATCTGAGAAGCTGGCAATCTGGAATCTAAGATGACCCAAATTTAACACGAGTTTTCCGCGAGAGGAGGGGGAGGGGGGCAGCCACAAATAATTGAATATGTCTGTAGAGAGAGAGAGAGAGAGAGAGACAGAGAGAGAGGGGAACGATTGAAACTGGCCTCGCAATGCCAAGCAGACTCGAGCCAGCTTGAACAACCACGCATGCTGTCACGTCATCCAAGGTGCGCGCCATGCCCGACCCAGATGCCGCAATTGTCATTCCAGTGATTTCGTATCTGGTTGCACAAGTTGCCAATGTCTTGCAAGTGGCAGTTCTGAAGCTTGACGTGTGACAGTGCAAAGAATGGCAAAGTGTATCATTTTCTCGAGTGAGTTTTGGCAGTTACTGATCTTGCCAAGCTACTGTACAGACCGGACAACTGCTTTGATAGTTGGAAGTCAACCTGAGCAAGTGTGAATCAGGTTTGCTGGGGTCCTTTGTGGACAGGCAGCTTGAATTCAGACACTCAGCGTTGACCAAATTGCAGGCTCCGTGTTGCCGATTTGTATGTTTGCAATCTTTGGGTTCCAAAGCTACACGTTCATCGTGCGCCACATCGTCATTGTAACGGCCTTGCGCTTGATGGACTAAGGACCCATTCCTTGCACAGCTTCAGGCTGATGCGGCCATGCGAGGATGGTTGCAGGACTTTGTCATGTTGGCCATGTTGGCGAACCTCCAACAACTGGAACAGATTCTGCTCATGCACTTGGTTCTGTTGGCTTGCAGCGGCAGGAGCCAGCGAGCTTGGAAGGTCACCTTGCGAGCTTGTGACAGGGAACATTTGTAGAAAGGCTATGCTGCGTGGCGGGCTCGTGACAGGTTTTTGCAAAAAGATGTATATGTTGTTAGTTTGGATCGAGATTTGGTACAGCTGCCGGAGTATGCTGCAAAGACAAACTTCGGTTCGTTATCTGTTGGTCAATGCCCCGTTACATAGATCATTGTGCCAAAGGATCGCTGGTTCTTCTTTTGAAGAGAATCTGTGTTGTTGGCAAGGCAGCCGCACGTCACCACTCGCAGAGCTGCTGCCAAGGAGCGGTTGAGAAATGTTGAGAGTGTGTTCTCTTGGAGACGGCGCTGTGAATTTGCTTCTTTGAAGAGGCTTCGGGCAGAGGCATCAGCAGAGGCCGCTGCAGAGGCCTGATCTAGTTTTTGTTTGGGATTCATGGTTGAACATGTCGTTGAAAGTGCCTCAGGCTACGGGCGCAATGCTTCGTCCGTGGACGCTGCGCTTGCCAGCAGTGGCGCAGCGTGGAGGACCGCTGTGCCCTGTGCCCTGAACAGTCAGTCTGGATGGCCCAAGCAAGACGGGCTGGATGCGCTGAGTCTAGATGTTGCCATGTCCGTCATGTCTTTCAGGAGCAACCGTAGACCACAAGACTTTGTATTTTCATTTGTAACGCTACGCGACCCGCTTTGGTTCGGTCCAGCGCATCCGCGTGAGCATGGTGATTCCGCAGCACCCAAGTCGCTGGACCCCAAGCAATAAGGGTTGGGTTCAGGGTTTAGGGTTCCGGGATTATGGTTTATGGTTTAGGGTTTAGGGTTTAGGGCTGAGGGTCAGTTTAGGGTTGAGGGCTTGGGGCTCAAGGTTTACGGTTTGGGGTTTAAGGTTTTTGGGTTTAGGGCCTGTTTAGGGTTCAAGGTTCAAGGTTCAGGGTTTAGAAGGTTCGGCTAGGACAGGATTCGTTACCTAATGCTCACACCAGTTGAGCCGCGGGCCCTCAAGCAAAAGGCAGGCGGGTGGGTGGGGGGGGGCAGGGGCAGAGCGGGGGAGGGGGGGCCTGCTGGGCGTCCCGGCGAACCGGCCGGGCCCGCCGCTTTCAGATCGTGGTCGCCTCGGTGGATTGAATTGGAACGCTTTGTCTAGTCGGACTGCTCGTATTCTTGGCAGAGCATGAGCTTATTTGAACAATTGTCTACTCCTAGACCTTTTCTCGTAAATTGAAGGTTCGGAACATGCAGCGTGGGGGTGGGGGGGGGAAGGGGGTAGGCAGAGCCAATTCATTGTATTTGCTCTCCTTTGCCTCGGCATGTTTGAAGCCCCAAGTCCATCGAACTATGTTCCAGCCTGTCTTGATGTATGCAGTGGAATGCACCACTCTGTCTCCTTCCAACTTACATGTGTGGATTCGGTTCACTTAAACAGTATCGACAGATTTGAAAGATGAGATCTGCATAATGCCCCACAGACGCTCCTTGCTCCAGCGAGTATGTGGCAGACCTTGCCTGTACGGCCAGAATCGACAGAGACCCCTTGGACACCACCCTGGAAAACGATAGAACTGTAGTTTTCCCCCAAAAAAATTTGTCTTAACGGGGCAATAACGATAAAATAACGAAGGCAATCAATAGAATTATGCATTGATAGGGGCTTGTTACTATTGATCCAAAAGTTAGGAATGTTATGAATTCAAAATGCGTGTGTGAAAAAAGATATTAATAAGAATATTGTCATGAATCCTGCAAACTTGGCATGCGAACCCCTTAAATATTGATGCATTATTCGCTTCGCCTCCTTATAATCCGAATACAATTGCGAACGAAGAAAAGTATTCATGTTTATGATCAGATGCGATCGTTCAAATCGGAAAACGCACACTTCCTTCGCCATGTAGCTGACCAAGTAGCTGACCATGTCGTTGACCATACAGCAGCCCATGTGTGGCATCTTCGGCTTTGAAGAGTGGCCATCGAAAAGTAGCACCATCACAAAGTCATCCCTAACAGCACACACCATCACAAAGTACTCTCTGTTACCTCTACCAGCTGTGCATGCGCAAGCGTCGCCGCTGTGCTCGCCGCAGTTCTCATTGCTCCCTTCGCAAAAGCGTTGCTTGCCGTGTCCGGCGTTTGTCTAGCTGTCGTAACCCAAACAAATCTCAAGTCCGTGTTGACGGTCGCACAGATGCGACTTTTGGCGGGAAAACTGCCCTTTCCCATGGCAAAATAAGTTGGCAATCTTTTCTTGTCTTGTTTCCTTCAAGCCTTGCCTTTTGCATAACTGACGTGATTTGCCATGTTTCGTGCCAGCAGGCTGCCCACCTCCCAAGCTTGGACAACTTTTGGAGGCACATCCCAATTCTGCTGCGCCCTCTACACTTGCCAGATTCCGTAAGGTTGACCCACAAATACGATGATCAGGAGCTGAGTTCAGTCGGGCACACAGCCTGCCGCTCTTCCTTTGGACCAGCAGCTGGGCAAGCACTCTTAGACCATGGTCGGAGCGCTTGGGTTCCACTGCTTTCCACTGGTCTGGACTTGGGGGTATTTGAAACTGCCCAAGCGTGCAGAAGTAGGTGGCCTCCTGAATCAAGCCTTTGGTCTGCTGGCTTGATTCTGAAGTGGTGTTTAGGAAGTCAGCATTTCTTTAAGTTTCGGACCCGTTCTAGGAGCAGTGGATGCAGTTGCCCAGGAGCACTTTCGAACATCTGCAGACGTGTCAGAGGTGGTGACGATTGCCCAAAATCTAAGCCTCAACCGCAGGCCAAGGAGCTTGCAGAAGCCTGTGCGAAAAGTTCAGGCTGTGCACAGCCACGTCGAGCAAAATGCCAGCGCAAGCAAAGGGATCCAGATTGTTTACTGCGCACTCGGTTTCGCTCCTAAGCACCGGTACTCAGTCATGCCCAGAGCGGCAATCTGCAAATGATTACTCGACATTTCAGAAGGGTATTGGATGGAGGCCGAAGCTGTGAAGTGGTGAAGCGAGTGGATTCCGTGCAGGTACCCAGGCGCGATGCAAGCGGCATTGGAGGCACCGATGAACTGCTCCAGCGGTTAAGACTTTTTCCAAGGCCCACGCCACGAATAGATGAATAGATGATCGCTTGCTGCGTATGTGTGTGTGTGTGTGTGTGTGTGTGTGTTTGTAGTCCTTGCCCTTGCATATCCTGGATGCTCCCATCTGCCGGACCCAATATTCTCAAAGTGGGCCCCGGCGACGCAGAAGTATAAGTTCTTTCCTGCAGCAAGTAGATGTGTTTCCTAGCCCAGCCAGTCCGAATGCACAGTCTTCGCTATTGTGCCCCCCATGCTATCAGGCCAGCATAGGCTAGCCAATGCTTCATTGATAACGTCAGTTTTAGAGTGCGGAGAGATGGCGCACAACCGCTGGTGTCTTGTCCTCAGACGGTGCTTCGTGCAGTATGCAGAGGGTTTGTCTCGAAGACGTCTTGAAGGTTGAAGACACGTGCACGACATTGCGCGATGTGTGATTGTGAGAGATTGTGAGAGATTGTGAGAGATTGTGAGGTCTGTGCCTTCTTCTGCTATTTCAGCTCCTGGAGGTGCCCTGCACGAGAAAAGGTGCCTTTTTGTGGAAAGCGCTGGAGAACTGGCCAACTGGGATCCTGACAGTCGGAGAACCTACTGCAAGGAAGCGTTCAGGAATGGGATCCCGAACTAAGGGGCCATGTGAATTTCAGAGCTCTCCAGCGATTCAGAAACTGGACGCGATACAGGAAACCCGGATTCGGGGAAGTGCGGTTTAGAAAACTCGGTGATTTAGGAAACTGCGGTTCCAGAGCTTGCGATTCAGGAAACTACGCGGTTCAGGAAACTGTCTCGCGGCGGTTCAGGAAACCGCAAGATGCAGGAAACCGTCTTCACGCGATTAAGGAAACCGAAATTCAGGAGCTAAACAATTCAGGAAACTGGTTTCACTCGACATCACTCGACTCAGGAAACTGCCCGATTCAGGGGTAGGGAGTGGGTGGGGGAGATGACGTTCATGTCAAGGGTGCTTTCGGAACACTTTGTGACCCGAATCCGCGGTTTCCGAAATCCGCATTCTTGGTTTGTGGAAACTGAGTTCTCCAGTTACCCGACTCTGCGTTCTCCGGTTTTCGAATTTTTCCAGTTTCCGAATCCACGCGTTTTCAGTTTTCGATTCCGCTGCTGGCCCCCACGGCGTTTGGCTTGAGACGCCAACTTCGGCTCTGACTCTGAGGAGACAAGCTCTTCCAACAACTCGGAGCACTTGGAGGAGCATCAAGTCTTGGGAAGTTTTGGCCTGTGCGGCATCGTCAGTATCGGAAAGAAGCTGGGGCTGGCCATAGGGGGATGTGGGCTCAGATGTGGGCAGACGCAGGCGAAGCTTCCAGCACCTCCTCGTCTGGCCAGCTTGGCGGAGACCGCGAAGGAGATCGCGAAAATAAAGCAGGCGCAGGGCTTCGCAGGGCTGTGTTTGCAATGTTTGCAACACTCTCAAAGTCTAATCTAAGCCCCTACGCCAGCCGAAAGCTTTGGGTAGCTGCATGATGCCAGCCGTGCCCTTGCATCAGAAGCTGCATGGCGAATACGTCACCTACATCAATGGCAGGGAGGCCCTGTCCTCGAACATGAAAACCTCGCGACAGAAGTACAATGCCAAGTTGTCGTTTCGTCATCTCCGGATGACAGAGGGTGCACCACCATGCAAGACTGAGCTCCAAAAATATGTTGATGTGGGCATCAGCTGTCGTGCCTCACGTTGCAGGTTACCGTAACTGGTGATTCAAGAAAAGTTGCGTGCTTAGAGAATCGGTGACTGGGCGAGATATGTGGAGCCATGATGTTGACTGGGTTGCTAAGGCAGACATTGCGATGTGTGTCTTTAGTTCGCTTCTGGCAACACACCAACTGGCGTCAGCCTTGAGCCCAGTCAAACAAGCGAAGTATGTAAGCTGTTTTTCCAAGAGGCCAGCTGGCGCAATCAGGCTTGCAGACTGTGGCATACTGTGGCCTTTGTGGCAGGTGCTCTTGTAAATGCCCGAGAGTTTACATGTGCTAGATGTGGTGTTCCGAAGCGAGTGCTATCAGCTTGAAAGAGTAACGGAACCTGGCTGTGTTCCTTGCAAGTTACCAGTAGGCGCCGGCACACCACCATGTATCAGGCTTTTCTCACCACTTCTGATGACATGGGGCGTTGGATTCCTGAAGGATCTAAGTTGCTGTTAAGCTAAGCAATGCTGAGCTGGTCAAGCCCTAGGAAGTTCTTTTCGGCACATGTTGGACATGGTGTCCACCCCATCCACCCCATCCCAAAGGTCGGAGGTGACCATCCTTGCCTTTGCTTATGCCTGCAACTTCCTGATGCCGCCTTCCATGTAGCAGAATGACGATGAATTGAGGCCGGCATGTCCATCAATGCCGCTGTGGCTACCTGCGGGTGGGATGCAACATGGCAAGCAAAATGTCAGCAAGCTTCAGTGATGAAGATCAAGTGAGCAACTCAAGCACGAAAGTCGCAGTTATCACTGGATTATTCATGCTCTTTGGCACTGACGTTTGCTGGCAGCATAGTTTCGCATGCCGCACCCCTATCTTCAAATGCCAAGTGTCAATGAGTGTTAAGTAAGCCTTCCAGTCAGTGAGGAACAGCTAGTTTGCATGTGTGTGAATGATGTGAGCAGGAAACTTGCAGAAGCGTTCTCACCTCAAGACCGGACAGAAACATGAGCCGGTAGAGGAAAAGTTCAGCCTTTTCGCTGCAGGCAGAAAGGTCCGTTTCCAACATGGTAGCGGAACGCTTCACCATGAGTGGGATGATGCTACTGGAGCTAGGAGTCTCAATGATCGCGGCCATGGGAGTTGTAGTCTTGAGAATATGGGCCAAGAAGCACTGCCCCAATCGGAAGTGCACCAAGGGAATTGGGAATGTGACAGTGGCAAGCAAGTAGGTACAAGCAGCATGGGTGTGGACCCGGAATGGCAGTAGCGGGGGCAACCTATCCTTAAGAAGTTAGGCGGCGAGTCTCAACCAAATCCCTCGCCAACCCGATTCATGATCCACATCAAGCGTGAGTGATCGGTGCAAGACATTCATTCATCGCTTGCGTGTTCTTGAAAGCTGTTTAAGTCCAAGTTCGACCTGATGAAACAGGTTCAAACTGTTCCTGGAAGAACGCCTGAACTGAGCTTCGCGAAGACATGGACCACAAAGGTGTTGAAGATGCCAAATGTCGAGATGCTAAATGTCGAATCTCCCTCGTCCTGAGAATGTGGATCGTTCAAAAATCCCTCCCAGCGTGAGTCAGGGTTGCTTCGGTTACTTTGCGTGCAACCCACTTGGCGAACGGCTGCATTGTGGATTGTGCATCTTTCACCTACTTATCTTATTTTGCAGCGCATGGCAGCAACAGAGAGCGAGTGAGCCTGGAACGACCTGCCCTGTTCCCTGAGCTTATCACTTTTCCTCCTGAAACATCTATATGAACCTCTCTTTGCAATTTCAGGGTGTGCGTGTGACAATGCCAACTGCAGTGCAGGCACTTTGTTGGTACTGAATCTTCGAAGCAACGTTAATGTTATGCCGTGTTACCGCCCAGGGCAATGGGACGAAGGTTGAGGCCGTCGAAATGAACAATGCTGCCTCGATCATGAGCGAGCATGTTGAGTGAGATGATCTTTGCCTATTTGTAGGCTTGCGCAGCCAACATCGGCACTACATTGGCCACGCTTTCTGGGACTGCATGCTTCTTGACGGAGGCGGAACGCTGCTGCGGTCTGTCTGTTGTCCTGTGTAAATTTGAAGTGCCACGAGGTGCAGTGCCTTTAACTAAGCTCATAGCCTTCCAGCTCGCCTGTGTAGCAAGGACTGTATGTCGTGAGCATGCCTGCCTCTTTCCCATTTCGCTCTCGCTGACAGTTGGCGTTGAACTGTCCGTCTGAGAATGTGGACTGGCCCCTTAGCTGCATCAGGGTTCAGGAGCAGAAGATCCGGGTTGTTCCAAGGGCTGCAAAGGGTTGCTTATCACACCATGCTGGAACAGATGTCAGTAGGGGTTCCGCGTAGCATCAGCTCGGCTATGTTCGGTTGCATGCTGCTTAAAGACACAACGGCTGGGGATATCTGAATCGACCATCCTTTGCAAACTGCAAATCTTTCGGCACAGGCGAGCGGGCTGTGCAAAGCCCATCGAAACTCTACTCAGTGGCTTGCCCAGACCTTAGCTGCCGCCACGAGTCATGATTCTTTTTTGAGATTTTGTGCATTTTGACAAACCAGAATAAAAACATGCATGAGCGAAACTGAGGGGTGGCCTCGTCGGCCACTCCTCTGGTATCTCACAGGCATGCGATGAGGTGCATGGCTGAGAGACCACGAATGTTCGCAGCTTTGGGTTGCCTGTCATTGAGGGATGGTAGAGCAGAAAAATGAACCAGAGACTGGCAGACCCTAAACCCTAAACCGTACACCCTAAACCCTAAGCCCTAAGCCCTGAATCCTAAACCTGAAGCCTAAACCCTGAACCCTGAACCCTGAACCCTAACCCAAAACCCGAAGCCAGAACGCTCGAGCGGTGTCTCCAACTTGGTCCTACTGGTAGTTTGTGTCTGTCCCAAGATTGAAAATGGCGCAACCATCTTCAACCCTGTGAACGTGAACGATGAGACAGGCAATCGGTGTTAAGTTTGTTCGCTGCACGATTTCCTTCTCCAAGATGAATGTCGCTTGATTCCTGCCTGGGTTGAAGGACTTGCGAATTGCATTCTGAACGCTGATCAGGCAGGCCGTCGCCGTGACGACATAGCCTCTGTAGCCAACGATCCAAGAGAAGAGGGTGGGATCCTGCTTGGTCTTCCTTTCATGTTTCTGCCAGGCGGCATTCTTTGCAGGTAGGGCGGGTCTGAACGTGAATGCCCTGGCGAATGGTGATTGCTCTGACAGCAACTCAGCGGCGGCCGCTTGGTGGCAGCATAGGTCAAGAGTGTGCTGCTTTAATTTTGTGGAACTTTCCCGGCATTGTCCAGCAATACGCAGTCGTGACCACGGCGTTTTAGGAGAGTGCGAGCTAGTACTAACTCCAGCGAACCAACCCAGGGTTGTTCAGCCAGTGTTACTGGCGCATTGACCTCCTTCGCATCGATGGCGTGTCTTAGCTCCGCTTGATTCGTGCTGGGCTGCATGCAGCAGACTCCACAAAGCTCACAGCCCTAGAATCATTAGAATATCCTACAGCCACAGAGCTACATGTCATAGCTCGTATAAGCTCTGTCAGGTCTTTCCTTGCTGGCGCGGTCTCGAAGTGCACAAAGTACAAGTTGTATTCACCGGCCTGCGCTGCAAACATTGCTGGCTGCCTGCTTAAATGCGTGGCATTTTAAGGCGTGTGCACATGTGCGTGTGTGTGTGTGTGTGTGTGTGTGTGTGTGTGTGTGTGTGTGTGTGTGTGTGTGTGTGTGTGTGTGTGTGTGTGTGTGTGTGTGTGTGTGTGTGTGTGTGTGTGTGTGTGTGTGTGTGTGTGTTTGTGTGTGTTTGTGTGTGTGTGTGTGTGGCACACCGCTGTACATGCGGGAACGTCAACAAGCACTGCATACGAGAGCGAAAAGAAGCACGAATTTGCGATCTAACAAGTTTTTTGCACATGATGTTCAGCAGGGGGCAGGAGTGTGCCTGAGAGTCTCCTGCCAACGAAGACGCTCTCAGTGCACAGTGATATGGAGATGGGACGCCATCTCCACGTACCTGCAGTGATGGTTATAGAAGTCCTGTAACGCAAGCTGTGCATTGGTACCATCCTCGCTGTTGTTTGTCAACTACCTCAACCACAACGCAGTTTACAACGTGGATTTCGTATTTTGCTTGGCATGTGGGTGAATTCTTCGAGCCGTGAGCATGACAGACCCCAAACCCCAGAAGACCTCGAGCCCATCAAGCTTGAGTGGATCGTGATGCTTTCAGCTTGTGTGTTGTGAATAGCAGCTGAGCAGAATTGCGTGAGCATGTCATTTTAGCATGGTGATGGAACATGTCGAGCATGATGATGGACGAAAGCATGGAGAAGGTTCGGAACATGAGTGTTAGAGCATATGTGCATGCACTGTGCAGCATCGGAGCGCGATGAGCAGAGTTGCGGGAGCATGAAGTGTGTAGCATCAGACCATGAGTCGTGGAGCATCTGAACGTGCTGAGCAGAGTTGTGCGAGCATGACTTGTGGAGCATCAGAGCATGAATTGTAGAGCTTCTGAGCGTGGTGAGCAAGCTTGGTTGAGCATGAGTGGTGAAGCATCAGAGCATGACTTGCAGAGCATCTGAGCGTGATGAGCAGAATTGGGTGAGCATCAACTGCGGAGCATCAGAGTGTGAATTATGGAGCATTGGAGCGTGATGAGCATAGTTTGCAGAAGACCCTAAACCCTATATGATACGTCATATAAACCTTCATTCGCGACCCTTCTACCTCATCACTCACGAGCTCATCCACTACCTCTTGCTTGAGCATGTCCTTCTCCAGCAGATCTCCAACTACATGAATATGTGGAGCACTAAAACAAAAAGTGTGTTATACAGCCAGCCCGCCCTCGCCTTGGGCCGCGGGTGTAGGTGGAGCCTCGCTCCTACGCGTTCATGCTGCCTATGTTAGTCTTCACTTCGGTGCGGACGCATAGGATAATCCAAAAATGTGAGCTCACCTGGCGAGTGAGAATGCAAAGTCCTATTGTTTTCGTGCACTAGTAACATGCCGGGCCCACTAATGTGGGTGCCACCGATGCCCAGCAAGACGGCCGGCGTGCCGTATGTTCCTCGATTGTTAGTCCTGACCCAGCATCCGGAGAGGTTAGCAACATTCTTTTTGCTACGTCTTTGCCGTAACGGTTTCATAGGTCAGAGTAGTGAGTAGCTCGTACCCCAGCTACATCGGACTCGCACCATGGACGGCTACCAGTGGTACCAACAAAGTTGGCAGCGGCAGCCGCCTCCTCCTCCTCCTCCACCAGACTATCAAGCACATCCTCCTCCTCCTCCTCCCGAGACGCCACACCCGACGACACATTACCCAGGAGACGATCAAGGATGGCAAGGTCGATGGAATCAACACCCACCAGCCGGAGGAGTACACGCTCAATACCAGTGGCCACCCCACCAGGATGCAGCATCTCTACGGCCACAATGGATAGCACCAGCCGCGTTTTTGGATCAAATGCAGTTCGGCCCTCCGACGCATCGTCGTGATGATGCAGCAGGATACGCACCTTCGAGTCAAACGACGGGCCCACATTCACCGACGACCAACCAGAACATCCATCTTCACCACCAACATGCCAGTCCTCAACAACATGGTCGCAGCGATCACCCGGAAGTACGCCCAGCACCTCTACATCCACAACCTCACTCCTACCCCCAGACCACAAGTCATTGGCAGAATCCGGACCCACCTCCGTATCTTCAGCATGGTCAGCAATATCATCAAGGCCAAGATCTACGACCAGACCACCACCCTCGAGACCTTGCGCACCACCATCAACAAAGCCCTCCTCAGGGTCGACCAGAATGGAATCAAGCCGCACCTCGGCCAGCACACCATCTTCAGCAACAGATGAATGTTCCACAACGAGCAGATCATCCCGTGTTCGCGCAAGCAGAGCCTCATCCTCCAGTTCGAGAAGGACCTTACCCCATCTCCCTACTAAATACCCCTGGCGCCTGTGCACATCGAGATCCAGCAGAACACGGCCAGCCACGTCAACAAGATGCTCCAGTTGACACACAACACCCAGACCAAGGACGCAGATCTCAGCAAGACCCCACTCAAGTATATACTCACCGAGATCCGCAGCGAGACGCAGCACGACAGGAGCCTTTGTCACAGTCCAGACCATTTCCGGCACTTCAGCGATCTATGCCCACCCAGATTTCGGACACACAACAAGATGACCATCAAAGAGGCCAACCTGTTCATCACGGAGAACATCAACCACCTCGTCAAGCCCCAGAACCACCCTCCCAAACCACGTCGATGACGACACCGTCCCAGATGACGGAGATGTTCACGTGCATCACAGGCATGATTGAGAAAGTCGTGGCACCGCTACTCCAGTCCCATGCCAGAGTCGCCCCAACGCAACTACAACATCCTGGCGACCAACACAGAGCAGAGTCCTTTACCACACACCACACCCGAAGTCGCAGCCGAACCACCTATGAGCCCAGCCCAGCCCACCCCAGGAGCACCAGATCTACGCGACACACGTACATCTCCCATTCACCCCACAGCCCCGCACCCAACGCCCCCCACCAGACAGACAGAACCAGACGGCCACGCAGTCCAAGAAGATCCAGATCCACACGTCGACACTCGGAAGAAGCCGAATCGCGAACATCGAGAAGGCGCTCTTCTCCGGTTCATCATCACCGCACATCCCAACCAACGCCATCCCAACGCAGCCCCTCCCCAAGCAGCACCAGGCGCAGAGGCACGACCGTCGTTCTCACCCCCGCGCTCCACCGATCTGCTTCACACACGGCGACCCACAGAGACACACCTGCTTCCTCATCCCGACTGCCCCAAGCACCCTCAGAAGCCACTTCACACAATGCAGGAACAGAAACCGAATCAGGCTTCAAGCCTGAAGAACGTCGACGCATGAAGATGCTCTACCAAGACGCCTTGGCGGACCCCTACAGGCTCGCGTGTGTGTCCGAGATGTACCGCCAACAAGACCCACCACCGCCCATGGACCCTTCCAGCACAGGCGTCCGGTACATGAACGACATCATGCACGACATCGCCAACCTCACTCAAGGACAACCCCTTTGGCTCTCCAACCCAGCACAGATGGCCATCCGCCAAGTGGCAAGATCCTTCGCTTGCTCTCACTACAAGATCACGCCCTTCCTCGGCAAGTTCAGAACTCGCCCCAGCACGGACACGGTGATCCACCCGGAGCTCATCCACGTTGACCCCTACAGCAACAAACAGGACACCACCGACTACCCACTGGTACAGGTCCTCGTCATACCACTACGCACCACCAAGCCTCCACCTCACGCACACGATGCCAACAGTCCATCACCTCCCACGCACAAGGGCGCCTACAAGGCATATTGGTCACACGCTGCCGATGAAGCAGGCCTATGGCACATCCTACGCGAGGGCTTCGTCAGACCCACGAATTGGGAGCCCACCAATTGGGATGACGACAACCTCCCCTACAACAAAGCATACCTACCCCACCGTGGGTTCAACGGATTCCACCAAGACAACGCACCCGACAACCTCCAACTCGGATTTTGCCACACCAACCTCCGCAAAGCCCTCCGCCTTCCAAAAGCCAGAGCAGGTCCTGCCGAACGAGAAATAGCCACAGGTTTCACCATATTTGGACGCGTCACATCGTCCACCTCCCAGCATAGCCACATGCGGCAGAAGGGAGGAGGATGGACGACTCAGAAGGCGCTCATCGAGGCACACTTCAACGACACCAGCCGAGCCAGTCGCAACTTCACTACCGTCTTCTCCCACACCGAGAAGAGCGTCATTGATGCACAGTACGCTGAGATCACCGGGATCACCATCAACGTCTTCCACCCTAGACCCTCACCCACCACACCACCTCCAGTTCCCAACAGATCCCGAGACAATGACCGCGGACAACGACGTTGACAACTACCTGAGCTGGCGAATCCTTCTTCCTCATCGTGAAGAGCAAAGTGACGATTTCTTTTTCACCTTCACGAACCCTCACTCGTGCGGCACCAGCGCGTTAATCATAGCATGTCAAAATGGAAGGCACCAAGCGGAACAGGTCGCAGATTGGATGAAGTGCACCCCCACCCCACCACACATCACTCTGCAGTTCCGAACTGTTTGAAATATCTACACCGAGGTCTATGCATTTAGCCCGATGTGTGCGCTAGTTACGGATTGCAATCGGATGCATGTAGTACAGCGTCACGAATGCATCAGCCTGTCTTTTCTTTTCGGCACATGAAACCACGCGTCAAGTGAATTCGTGCACTGCTGTGATGCGTTAGACCTTGACCTTGAGAGACATGCTCTGGCCGCCTTTAGGTGTCGTTAGTGCTGATTGCATTTCGCATGCAGTTTTGCTCTTGACCATAACGGATCATTAGACGCTCACTTTCATCATGGATCCGGCAGAAGATATGGAGCACGCCCTTCACCGCTGGCTAAGCGGACAAGTCGCCGATCATCAGGTTGTGCAAGTACTAGGACCCCAAATACTACAAAGATGGCAAGCACTCTTGGTGAGTATCGTGGAGGAGGATGACACCCCCATCATCACGGACACGTCGTCGATGCCAGCCAGACCATGGACGACCAACTTGCACCCATCCAAATACATGGAGATGCTCAGCACCACTGACGAGGGCACCAGCAACACCGTCAACAGATTTCGACAGCAAACCATGAAGGCCAAGATACTGCACCAATCCAGATTACGAGCGGTGCAGACCGACTACCCCGAGATAATCGGCCAAGGACGACTACAAGACATGGAAATCAAACCCGGTCGAGTTCTCGCCTCCGCGGAAAACCACGGTACCATGCCCCATACCCTTCCCCCTCCAACCTCCTCACAAGACCATGCGAACCAATTCCAGAGATGGTATCCGAATCGACAAACACCACCCCAGGACCACGCCACCGGCATGTCCATGGATTATGCGGGCACGGACCAACCTGTCAGAGACCTACAAACCTGGCACACTGGAGCCTTCCCACACATTCCCGTACCTCCCGACCGCACAGTACCTCCTCCCGAAGAACGGCATCACAGAGAAGACAGATCCAGGTCGCCACTTCGAAACCCTGGTGTCCACACGATGGGCATGCACGTCAGCAGCTTGCAACAACTGCTCGACAGCCTTGAACCAGCTGTGGACGCGCAATCCGTCACACAACATCACGATCAAGGCCGGCTACGCCCAGTTCTACCAGTGGATCAGATAGAGAAAGTGCAGCCGCAGTGGTGGAGACGACCGATTCGACCGGAACTTGTTCACATGCTATTTCCGGTTGAACCACACCATTGGGAACTCCAAGAGGACGGCACACCCGTCATTCGATTCTTCCCCAACCGCATGACCTTCCTCCCGAAGCAGCTGGTGCACAAGTTCCCCTCACTCCAACAAGAACTTCAAAACAGCATCCTCATGACCTGGGACCAATACAAGGACGACGCATCCACCCACGTCCAGATGGCACGCTACGCCGACTCCGTCGACATTCCCCAACCCAAGCCCCTACACCTACGACTACGTGCCCTCCTACACGAAATTCTATCAGGAACCGCTGCAGTTCACATCCTACAGTTCACAGCCATACAGTTTAGGATGCTCGTACGCAAAGGCACTTGCCCAGATTTGGCCACAATGCCCAACATCTATCAGCTCTGGCACTGGGGCTACATCAAATTCCGAAGTGTGAACCCGGAACTCTGGATGTTCACACACAACTTCGCAGATCCCAGAACTATGGGCAGGCTGGAGCAGACCTGCACTCACTTCCACAGAGTCTGGTCAGCACACGTCCTACCCAGCACGGCAGGATTGGTACCCCTGCTTCCGCCCATACAAGACCTCTGCGTGGTGCTCCATAGTACTACGCCACCCTTCCACCAGCCGATGCTTGCGAAGTACAACACCATCTCGGGCATCATGACCATGCAGGCGGTCAGCAACATAGTCTTCCGCAAGGCTCACCATGACCTACAGCTCCACAGAACATGGCCCAGCATCGATTCCCACACAGAATGCCTTCAGGGAACCAACACGTTCCAGATTCCGGACCACTGGTCAACCAACATATGGACCGACACGCTTCAGAAGCTCACCCACACGACCAGATGGACGCCACCCTCCACTTCCGACATCCGCACCAAACTCACCATCGACCACCTCCACAGCGACACACTGCCCACCATGGTATGGACACCGAGATTCGCCTTACCCCTCACCTCACAACAGATCCACGCAGTTCAAGTCTCCACCCAAGCAGCACATGTACTACATCGACTTTGGGACCCACTCATCTTCACCTTTGCGGACCCTTGCCACACCATCGACGGTTTCGACGCCAAGCGGACAAGCCGGCCTGATTTGATTGGCAAATTTCACCGACTGAGTCCAGGAGGACAAACGCCAATGTTAGCAATCCCGGCCAGCAGCGTGATGGAGACACAGTTGGACTGGGCCTGGTTCCAAACCACTACGGCATCCAGTTCCTCGTTCAGATGGCTGTCTCTACCCCTTGCAGTCATCGGACACCCCAGGACGCACTCGGTCTTTTGGACCCACCCGAAGATATCAGGCCAAATCCAACGTCACCAAGCTCTACATGTACATCAAACCACGTGGTTGGCGGTATCGGGAACACCTACAGCCTTCCAAGAGGATCCAGACATCAAGCAGAATCAAGCGCAGGCCACGCCAACTCAGGAGGAATGGACGGACTTCATCAACCAACGACAAGCTCTACTAGAACTTCAACGACGCACCACCGTTGACCAAGAAGCAGGCCAACATCAATGGAAGTATGTGAAGTGATGAAGTCCCAGCAATGACAGTTTCACGATGGAACGAACTCAGCCACATGCACCCGTTGAGAGAAGTTGCAGCCATATGCACCTCACATCCTGCATGCAATTTTCGGAACACGCTGTTTCTGCAAGTGTAGTGTTTCTTGCGCCTGACACAGCCGTTGCGTGCCTCACGTAGGCTTCTTCACTAACAGCTGAACATATCAGCATCCCCAGACCCCCGCGCCATGGCAGACAGACGTGATCGCCACGATCAACGACATGCTCAATGGCATGCAGACTCACACAGACGAGGCAACCGTTCCAGACGATCCAGA